TATTGGAAACTCTAAATTGTCATCCCTGTTATTATTTCCCACCAGGGCTGGGATCAGCTCTGATCTCAACCTTAATTGAGAGGTGGGGGTGCTTGGGGGGGAATTTCCCATCACATCCCCTTCTCCCTTCCCCCAGGGCCCTGGGTGGTGGGGGGAGAGAAGGCAATAGCAGAGACTGCTTGCTGCGCCTTTTCTCCTGCCCTCCCAGCTTTCCTTCTCCTGTTGGGAGTGGATTACAGACTCCTGCCTCGGATTCAACTTGAATCCGGTCTGTCGGAGTCTGCATAAGCAACCCAGAGCCCTCACGGACACCTTTTTCACAGCCGAATTTTTGGCTGTGAGCTTAGCTTTCCCTGCTCAGCTAACATTACAGGGAGCAGTCGGGGGCTGGTGCGATCGCATCGCAATGCCCCCAGAACATTCTGATCGTTCAGGGAACCCAGATCTCCTCGTGGAGTCCGCGGAGCCTAAATTTGGCTGAATTAGGTCGTGGCCGCCATTTTGAAAGTCCAAACGATCCGGGGAGATAGAATCAGCTTCCTTTTCGGCTTGGGAAGCAAGGGGGGGGGGAAATCCACAGCCAGCGGGGGAAAGTCACCCAGTTTTGGCAGCAGGATTCCTCAAACCTTGTTTTTTCCCCTCATGGTCAATTTGCATCCCTCGAGTGAATAGGCCTCATTCTAACAGCGGCGGCCATTTTAGATCTCACGTGGAGGCCTATTCAGGCCTAGCAGGCCTGGTCATAGGTAAAAATAGCACGTGAAGCACTGATAAAGGGGGGAGCAAGCCATCATCACAGGCCTTTCCTCCATCGGTTAGCTGCCAATTGAAATTAATTCCAATTGTTCAAAAATATTTTCCTTAATTGAGGTTGCTTGCAAAATTTTTTATTACTGGTGCACATTGCCTGGCCACCTAAGGCTTCCGGGCGGAGCCCAGAGAGTGGTTCCAAACATGCCATCGGTACCTGCCTCATTTACCGTGACCATAGCCCAGAGAGAATTATTTTTGGTCAGGTGAGCAGTCTTGGTATTTGCTCCAATCTCGCTTCCGCCAACTACTTGTCTGCCAGAGCTTCTTCTCAGTGTTTTTCTTACTGAAATTGCTCAAGTGGGATGGAGGGATCACCGTTGCCTCAAACCTTGGACACGCCCTCTCCATCACCCAATTACGGGTGCAATAAATCTTCTGAACAGAAGGCAGCGGGCAAGTGCAAAACTAAGACCAAACATACGCTAAAGAAGACATCCAAGTTGGTGGAAAAGCAAGCCAGCCGTGGGCACCAGGCTTTGGAGAAGGAGTTCTCCAGAGCACAGAGGTAGGCCCAACTGAATATGGGTCATATGGCAGCCACCAAGATGGAACTTCCCTTGGGCCCATCAACATCAACTCAAGGGGTGTGGTCCATCCTGGGAATGCCGGTAACATTGGGTTCTCCCTCCACATCGGCTCAGCAAGCGACACCTGTCCCGGGCACTGTCCCTGAGTCCACATTTACGCCCATGGCTGCGGGACTCAGGGGTCCGGACATCGCAGACATTTTCTCCGACGGACGCTTGGAGGCATTGTTAACCAAGGTTGTGGACAGGGCTTTGGCTCAGCGCTCAGTCCACTCTGAGCAGGAGGCCTCCACCTCGGCCATGCCACCCTATGAGCTCCCTATGGAGCCCTCAGCACCCCAGTCCTCCATGAGTGGATACTCATCCCCTCAGGAGGAGGAGCTACCGGAAATTACTCTCTCGGAGGATGAGGAACTGCCCCCGGAGCCTTCCACTTCAGGGAGTTTATTTAGTTCCAGCCTGTTCCTAACAATACCTCGCAAGGTCACCCTTACGGCAAATATAGGGGCAGACCAGTTCCCTCAGCTGCAGGGGACAACAGGTACCCCATCATGGCCAATTTTTGTTGAAAAGGTGGCTACTGAACATCATGTTCCGTGTCCTGCCATGTTTCTGAAGGGGATCAAGAAATAATGGGACGCTCCATCTTCTTTCCCTTCAGTAAGTGGAACGGATAAAAGGCTGTTCACCACATCCATGGATCTCTCTGATGCCCTGGAGGTCCCCAAGGTGGATGAAGCCTGGACTCCTTTGGTTTCCCAAACTGCCATGGCGGGGGACTTATTGGAGGTACTAAAGGCTGACGACAAGAGGTGGGAACAAACATTGCGCAAGACACATCAGTCTGCAGCATGGGCCATCAAAGCGGCCACATGTGCTTCATTTTTTGTCCGGTCCACTCTTTTATGGTTGCAACAACTTCAGGCCAGGGTCCCAATTGAGGACATGCGCACTCATCAGGACCTGGCCAAAATGGTAGCAGCCCCAGAATATGCAGCAGAAACAACACTCCAGTCGGCCATATTTTCCTCCAGATCCATAGCGTCCAACATAATTTCTAGGAGGATGTTGTGGTTAAAGTACTGGCAGGCTGACACCAAGGCCAAGTGGCGCCTAGCAACTGCTCCTTATTTAGGCAGCAATTTGTTTGGAGAGGCCCTCACACCTTACCTAGTCGAAAATAAGGATATCTCGGGATCCCATCAAACACAGGCTTATGCAGGAGGCCATCCAACATCTACTAGACATTCAGGCCATAGAACAGGTTCCGACAGGTTACAGGGGCAGGGGGTTTTACTCCATCCTCTTCGTGGTCCCCAAGACCTCAGGGGGATGGAGAGCCATCCTGGACCTGAAAAATCTCAACAGGTATATAAAATAGAAAAAATTCAAGATGCAATCTCTTCAGTCCATCCTGGGAGGCATCAGACAGGGTGACTTCCTGGCGTCAATAGACCTCACAGAAGCTTACCTTCACATTCCAATTCACCCGGCTCACCATCGGTTCCTACGCTTCTATTACAAGGGCAACCACTTTCAATACAGGGCCCTTCCTTTCGGCCTATCTTCAGCACCCAGGGTGTTCACAAAGATTCTGGCAGTGGTAGCAGCCAGACTGAGGAAAATCCCAATTTGCGTCCAATGCTACTTGGACGACATTTTAATCCAAGCAGCATCCCTCCAGATAGCTCGGGCGGACGTGATGTCCACCATTCACGTTCTGCAGCAACATGGGTTCTCAGTCAACTTCCAAAAGAGCCAGACAACTCCTTCATCCAGATTACTACACCTGGGAGCCATCATAGACACATCAAATTGCATGGTCTATCTCTCCCAGGAGCATGTGGTCAGCTTCAAGGAACTGGCTCGCCAGGTATACAGGCAACGCACAGTTCCATTGGTCTTACTCTCTCAGTTACTGGGCAAGATGGTCTCCTGCATAGCCATAGTTCCCTGGGCCAGACTCCATCTGCGGGACGTTCAATGGTTCCTCCTCCCATATCAGCGACAGAATACCAGCGCATCCAGCCGCCTGGTCAAGGTTCCGGTTCACATTCGAAAGGCGCTTCGCTGGTGGTGCTCTCAGGCAGTGACCAAAGGGTCACTTTTCAAGGAACCGGAAGGCGTCACCATCACAACAGATGCCAGTCTGTACGGTTGGGGGGCCCATCTACGCTCTCATTTCGCTCAGGGACGTTGGTCCATCGCGGATCTGAGAAACAATATAAATTGGTTGGAGTTCAGAGCCATCCACTTAGCTCTACAACACTTCAAACACAAGATCAAGGGCTGTCACGTTCTAGTCCTCACAGACAATGTGGCGGCCAAAGCACACATCAACTGGCAGAGGGGCACCAGGTCCAAATCCCTCATGACCGAGGCACGGCTCCTGTTCACCTGGGCAGAGTCCACCCTGGAGTCACTCAGGGCGGAACATGTTTCAGGGGTCAACAACGAGCAAGCGGACTTCCTAAGCTGTACCACGGTGGACCCTTCGGAGTGGGGCCTACATCCGGACTTGTTCTCAGACATCTCTTGCAGGTTCGGTCGCCCAGTTTTGACCTGTTCGCTTCACAGGACAACACCCAACTCCCCAGGTTTTATTCCCGTTACTTCCTTCCGGAGGCGGAGGGGGCGGACGCCTTATGGACCCGGTGGCCACATGGCTTACTTTACGCCTTTCCACCACTACCTCTCATTCCGGCGACCATCCGCAAACTAATTCACGAACGGGCGGAAATGATACTCGTGGCCCCTTACTGGCCACAGAGACCGTGGTTTGCCGACCTGATGAACCTGACCCAGTCACCTCCATGGAGGATTCCCCCGCATCAGGTGTCACTACATCAGGGGATCCTCAGTCATCTGGATCCCCAGTGGTTGCAACTGACCGTCTGGCGCTTGAGCGCAGCATAATGGCACAAGAATCATTTTCCTCTTAAGCCATCACCATGATTCAGGCTGTGCGCCGTCCTGCGACCAATCGCATCTATGATTCCACTTGGAAAAATTTTTGCCTTTGGTGTAGGAAGCGACAACTTGTCATTTCCAAATTGACCATTCCCCAAATAGTAGATTACCTGTTGGACGGACTGGACAGAGGCCTTGCCCCTGCGACTATTCGCAGACAAGTGGCGGCGCTGTCCACTCTTCTCTCATGTCAAGATTCGGTTCCCTTGGCTCACCATCCCAGGATTCGTGCATTTATCAAAGGGGCGTGTAACACCAGACCTCCTGTTGTTCACAGGTACCCATCTTGAGAGTTACCGAGAGTCCTCCGTGCTCTCACAAAACCACCATTTGAACCTTTAGGAACCATTTCGTTGGAACACCTGTCCCTAAAGGTGGCGTTTCTGATAGCCATTACATCGGCCAGACGAATCTTGGAACTGGCTGCATTATCGGTCAGGAATGACCTATGCATTTTCCACAGTGACAGGGTTGTCCTACGTATAGATCCTTCGTTTATCCCAAAGGTAAAATTCTCTGTTCCACAGATCACAGGAAATAATTTTACCAAATTTTTGTCCAAATCCGACACATGACTTGGAGCGGCAGTGGCATACACTGGATGTCCGTAGAGCATTGAGGCGTTACCTCAAGCGCACGGAGTCTTTCCGTAGATCAGAAGCCCTCTTTGTGTCATTCCGATCAGCTACCATGGGTCAGAAAGTTTCCTTGGGCATCATTGGCAGGTGGATCCGAAATTGTATAGCGGAAGCATACCAGTCTTCTTCTCTGCCGACTCCAAGTCATCTCACTGCCCATTCCACTCACAGTGCTGCAACCTCTGCGGCTTGGGCCACTCAGACATCCATTGAGGAGATTTGCATGGCTGCGATATGGGCCTCGCCTTCTCCATTTGTACGTCACTACAAGATTGACCGTTTTGCTTCGGCGGACACCTCCTTTGGTAGGAGGGTCCTCCAGCAAGTGATATCTGGGGACGATATTCCAGCCTTACCTGTTTCCCACCCATCGGGACAGTGAGGCTTTGGTATGTCCCATTGGTGGATTCTCCATCTCCTGTACTAGAGAAGGTGCGTTGTCTTACCTGAATGCCTTTTCTCAGTACAAAGATGGAGAATCCACACCCACCCTAGGGTCAGTTAGGCCATTCTAGGGAATTGAGAGCCAACGTCAAGTTCATCTTCAGCTGCTTCGCCCTCGTTAAGACTGGATCTCCTGGCAAGAGGGGGCGTGGCTAATTTGGCTACTTGATCTCAAGAGAAGGCAGACAGAGAAAACCCATTGGTGGATTCTCCATCTCCGTACTGAGAAAAGGCGTTCAGGTAAGACAATGCCCCTTTTAATTTAGGAATTAGTTTGGCCTTTGATCGTTAATAAACTTTATAACTTTAGGACTGTACATTGATGCCAAAGCCTCTTTTTCATAGTTACTGTAAATTGATTGAAATTGAAAATAAATTGTTCATTTGGGATTATAAGTTTGCGGTACAAATTGAAGACTTTTATCAAATCCATTTTTAAATTTTCAAGTTGGCATATGTCCAAAATAATCTATCCTTTTGTGTATGGATCTGCTAATATGCTATTTATTAATGTAGGGGCAGGAGTATCAGGGCCATTTAACAACAGAAACTGACTTTAAAATTCCTTCTTTTTTGGATAGTTTTCATAGTTTGTTGAACAGTAGCAGCAACGTTACCGCTTAATTATTCTAGATTGGTGATGTTGCAGCATAGTCCATTGGTTGCATGTAACTCCTAAACCACTCAGGTTGTATTGTGACAATTCAGCATCAAATCACAGTTTATCAGCAGGTTAATTTACTTCAGGTATGACAAGCAGAAAATGTTCTCTTAAACTTACCAGACTGCTCCCCAAAGAGTTAAAAATATTTCTTTGTGGCATCACTAACATCCCCTTTGCAGGCTGCAGAGGCATAATACAATTACTACTATTAAGCTTAGCAACAACATTCATGTTCTTCCTCATCATATAGCCTATGTGGGTTTCCGCTACAATCAATGAAGAAAGGGTGCTTTGGAATTCTTTACACACAATCTTCTTGATTTCCATCATGATCTGAGTTCTGGACATTGGTGTTTTCAAAGGCATGTGCCTGCTACTAGAATAAAGCAGCAGTTGTAAGGGAGCATAACCCTGATTGTGAACCCAGCCCCGGCAACTCTTACCAGATGTTCAACAAAATAATAAGATAAATAGGAGAGCATTAGATTCTTTCAACAGGAGGAAGTCTTATGTAAAACAAGGCCCGAAGGAATAAAAAATAGGACTTTGTTGGAAATGCAAGGAAGATCTGAAGGGAAAGTTTTTGTTTGTTTTTAGTAGTGATGTTGGTAGATAGTGACACTGGTAGAATTCCAGAATAATCAAGCAGTTTCTTTGGAGGAAATGTATAAACCTCTACTAGGCATGTAAATTCCTTTTGTCTGTCATTCAGTTATTATATTTTTATTTTTCATTTCAAGATTGAAAGCAATATATGAGATGTAGAGCTAAAGCTTTTAAAACAGAGTTGCTAGTTTTAATTGGATTTGCATTATTGGTGAAATAGGAGGTATATAAATTTAATAAATAAAAAAATTACATGATCTATGGACCAACAAAAATGCCTTCCTTAGTCTTGGCATCAGTTATTTTTGGAAACGTCTGTCTCAAGTAATGAAAACCTTTACCTTCCTTGTTTATCTCTTTCACAATTTTTTTCATCACTCTGAGTTTTATGTGAGCCAAGGCAAAAATATCTTTGTCAGGTGAACAAGTCATTTTTGTTTTTCTGTCCTGGAACCAAATTCTTTTGGAGTGGCCATTTCTTTTTAATATAATGCAACTTTCTTGCATGGCTGTGTGTAACAACAGCACTTGGTATTTCTGAGCTGCATTTCAAGCAGTGGAGCCACTACTTTTACATCTCCACAGATATTCCAGTTGTAGTTGGTGTACTGGATGTGCTTCAGTAACAGTTCCATGTTTTCATGTTTCTTTCATGTGTGCAGCAAAACCAACTAGTACTAAAGGGTGTGTACATTGACATTGTATAAAAACAGATGATTTCTATAAAACAGTACATAATAGGTTAAATTACAGGTTATTTTTGTGCAGCCAACATTTTATAAGATATACCCAAAAGTGTTCAGGAAGCAAAATCATTGTTGTCCAGTGTTATCCTACTTTGAGTACATTATTCAAAGACCTAACTCTCTGGAGAAATCTGCAAAACTGGGACGGTTAGAAAGGAAGAGAAGATGACAACCAGCATTGATGGAATTAGTTACAGTGTCTATTAGTGCACCATTGGAAGACCTGAAGGACCAGGTTAGGGTAGATCTCTTTGAAGAAAATATATCTCTATGGTTGCTAAGAGTTGACACCAACTTGATAGCACATCAACAGGAAAATTCATTTATCCTTTTCTTGAAATAAAATAAAATATAAACCAGTATTTTTTTTTCAGAAGAGGTGTTAAAGTAAAACTTTTACAGCTTCCTCCAGATATATGATTTTAATTTGCAGAAATTTCAGCAGTTGCCATATAGCTAATGTAAAGGTTGGAGGACAGGAAAATGTACTACTTATTTCTAGTTTACTATAATTAAGAAAACTAGTTGTCCTTATTTTTTGGTCATGTACATAACTTATATGGGGTAATCATCTGCAACGACAATTCTCTCATGTATTGAATTGCAACTTCTAGTATCAATAGCAGCCAATGTACATCTTTAAGGCATCAGCAGCACTTTTTTTTAACATCAAGGTCATATTAAGTTATTCTGTTAGGCCTAATATATCTGCTTTCTTAACTAACAATCTTTCAGTCTAGTTATTGGAAAATCTGGACCTGGAGGAGCTTGGATGGAAGAAGGAGAATTTTAATTATGCCTGGGAAGAATTCAAAGCTTATCATGCTTACTTAGTACCTGATATGCTGTTTATCAGTCCCAAAAATGTGTACAGTAGTTGTGTACACAACAATACAAATCTTGTTATATTACTGATAAAGCTTGCTATGATTTGTTATTAAGCAAGAATATTTGTAGCTTCTGCAACATAAACATATGTCCAATATGCCAAGACAATATCTAAAGCAAAATAGAATTACAACAAACTCTACTTCATATCATTGGATTCATTTGTTAATTTTAAGAACTAAGCACTTACAACCTAATATGGAAGAGTTCTCTATGACTCCCACGATGACCTGTCAAATTTTGAACCTCAGTTGGTACTAAGAAGTAAACGTATATCTTGCTTCTATGAATCATTGTATTCTTTGTAAAGAAAAGTTGTCTTGCCTTAGGAAAGGCGTGTATGGTTTGTGACCTGCTAAACTGACCAGCCATCTTTTATCCTCTGTCAGATAAGCATTACTTCCCTATTAGCTTTTGTTTTGCTTTTGGCAAAAGAGAGAATGAGCCTTTAACCTCTACTCAGCTGGGCTGTGGCTAGAAAGACATATTTGGATCTTTGAGTATTTGATTGATAAGGGAATGCTTTTTAAAAACCATCTCTTTGTTTCTATAGTAATAAATAAACCTCCAGTAATGTTCAGAAAAGTGAAGTGTAGGAAAGTAGAAACTGAGTTGGGGGCTGTGATTTCTGCGTTTACTTCTTGACTTATTAGTATCTCAGAGCAGGAAAAAAAAGGAGGAAGCTTTTAAAGATACTCTTCAGATTCTTTTATTATTTCATTATCTTTGTTGTGTATTCCTCTTGTAAATAATACAAAACAATTTTCCTTAATCTGCTTGGAAATAAGAAGACATTCTAAGTTCTCTTCAGTGTTCATATATGGAAATTGCAAAGGCCTATTAAATCTATAGTTGTGCCAGAGAACACTTTTCAAATTATTAATGAAGAATTATAGGAGCAAACAGGAGTTTGTTGCTTCCTGTGAAATATTATAAGCATAGAATGATTTAGATTTTTGAAACAAACTTCTTAAAACCAAAGTGTTTTTTTCCTAGGGTTTGTGCTGCTGTTTCAAGGGGCAACCATTCTAAACCTTGGGAAAAGCCTTGATTGCTGGTGTTGGAGACTGAAGCTACATTCACATCCCTCCAAAGCAATTTTACAGGGCTGGACAGTTTGTTTGTGAAGAAATAACTTTTCTTTCAATAAATAAGGTGTTATGTCCTGGGCCTGCTGAATGACTCAGCAGGTGGAAGGCCCGGGCAGACCATGTGGTTGCCTGGGACCAGACAGGCTGTCTCCAGCCTTGTGAGCAAGTGCAAGGTGGGAGACTAGCCTTGCATTGATAGGCTGATGCTGTCCCTGCAAAGGGAGTATAAAAGGGCCAGCACCATTTTGTTTGCTGTTCTGTTATTTTTGTGATCTTAATGAAGAAGTTGTGTTTTGTTACTCCTGCCTTGCTTCGATGTCTCTGATTCTAAAACAGAACATAAGGCAAGGAAGAAGATAGTTAGAGAAATTAAAAAGTAATATGTCCTTTCCTTCTGGCTTATGCCCTGGCTCACCCTTGACTTGATTATAAGTGCAGTAATATTTTATAGTTTAAGAATTGGCTGACCTATGATTGAACTTTAAAGAAAACAAAAGTAATTTCTTATTATTGAGGCTTGTTTCTGGTGACTCCTTAGAGAATTAATGTACCTGTTTTCTTCCCAAATACAAACACATCATTGTTGCACTTGAGTTTTAGAATTAAGTCTATGCTTCTAGAATTTTTTTTCTGTCTTGATTGGGATGGAAGACCATGGCAGTATTTCCATATAACTATTAATCAGGATTTCTGACTTTCTGTCAACTCTAAACATAGGCCATATTAGGAAACTTTATTCTGCTACAGAAACAGAATTTTACAAGTCTGTCTCTGTTCTCCTTCCTTTCCTCTTACAGCCCAGGGACTGGGGGAGGCAGTCTGAGTCTCTTTATAATAACTTCTGTCCCCCCCCCCCCCCCGCTTAACATATGTTTCTTCTGCACCTGTTGTCCTAATGGTATCTGGATGCTATCTACTTTCCTAGCTTACATATAAACAAGCAGGAAATCAGTGAATACAGTTTATAGTTTACTGTGTTATCTGAATTTGTGATTATGATTTATTGTGCCCAAACAACCTAGGATTCTTGAAATAGCTTTGAATCTGGATTTCTTATTAACTTATGACTATTGGGCTTTGTTTGGCAGAATTAAACTTACAGAATTTAGCTCACATCGTGGTAACAAGTCTTTCTAGTTAATTTACTTTAATATATGAATGATAAAAATGACAGGTATTCTTCGACTTATGACCGCAATAGGGATCAGAATTTCTGTTGCTAAGCAGTGTTAAGTAAACCATGAC